AATTATATCTGCATCCTTGAGTACCATTGATTCTCTAATGGATAGTGATTCATAAAACACATTCATGAACTAGAGCGCTCTTACTAATCCAAGTGCCGAATCAACACTCAAGAGAATTATTTATCTACTTCTTTCTCAAGAAGGAATGGATTCCATCTCGTATAATAACATTCCCAGCTACCTATTTCATTATGTCTCCAAAATACAAGGAATAGGATTCAGGGTCTCAGAATCCGTACCGAATAAATCAAAAGACATAAATCCATAAATAGGAGTTTGTTAAGAACTCAGCATTAAGATCATCCTATATATGACCATCAGTAGATTCAATTAGAATTTCTATGCTTAACAGAAATTATTAGAAATTCATATTGTGTCTGTGTCCTTGTTCCACATAATCTTATTATGCGAAATAGACTCATTCAATATCTCATTATATTAATAGTGCGGATAACACCGTTCTATTCTAAATGGGAATGACATGTGTTAATAATGTTTTAATTAAAGATTCTGAACTTTAATTAAATTCATTATGAACAATGTTTTTTATTATTATCCTTAAACACTATCCTCTCGTATATAACACTTATATACTATGTTTAAGGTTACATAAATAATCACGGAATTTTCATTTGATATTCATAAAATATTCATAAATATATGCACATAAAATGATGAATAAACTCTTTTATTAATTAAATAATAAATATCCTATTACATCTCATGCTTCTAGGACACTATTCCCAACAATCTCCCACTTGTCCTAAAGCAAGTGTGTCATGTCTCTAATCCTAAATCCATCTAAGTGCCAATCAAATACATTCAATGGCAATGTTTTGGTGAACGGGTCAGCAAGGTTGTCCTCTGACGCGATCTTCAGAACCGTTACATCGCCTCTATCCACAATGTCTATGATCAAGTGATATTTTCTTTCTATATGTTTCGCACTCTTATGGCTTCTAGGTTCTTTTGAATTAGCCACCACTCCACTGTTGTCACAGTAGAGCTTAATTGGCTTATCCATATCTGGAACAACTTCCAGATCAGTTAAGAACTTCTTGAGCCATGTAGCTTCTTTTGCGGCTTCACAAGCTGCAACATATTCAGCTTCCATGGTAGAGTCAGCAACACCCTTTTACTTTATCCTTCTCCATACCACGGCACCTCCATTAAGAGTGAACACAGATCCAGATGCCGACCGTCGACTATCTCTATCCGATTGGAAATCAGAATCTATGTATCCGGTGAGAGACAGATCTTCTCCGG